CATCGTAACAGAGATGTAAACCATGTTGCACATAAGTTGGCAAGGCGAGCTATACAAACCAAAACAAATTATATTTGGGACGATGAGCCCCCTAGCTTTATTGTTGAGTTTGTACTAAATGATGTAACTGTCTTTAATTAATAAAGCTCCCAGTATGCATCGTAAAAAAAACATAAAATATTACAGTATCTCCAGCATCACCCATAAACCCACCCACAATTATTTGGATGTCAAAATAGGAACGCACACTTTTTCGCTATCTGTGATAAGCAGAAAACATTAAAAAAACAGACAATTGCTCATGAAGGTTTCCACAGAAAGACCCCTTGGTTCTAGCAAACATATCACAATTACTGGTACCTAGAAGCATAGTATGCTCCTAGGTACATTTTTGAACCCAGCATACCGATGGAATGAACAAAGTACGAACAGTAAACATAATATAGTTATAGATCTTAGGTTGTAACCCTTTATGGGTGTACCATAGTGTTTTATAAGTACATTTTTATGGAAAATGGGACAGGGCCATTTGCCAGTTATTTAAAAATTTATGTAGTTATGACCATCTGATACGGAGTAAATACGTCACAAAATTGCCGTTTCTTCTTCGTACAGACTACTTCGTTGCAATCTTGCATTTCACACAGCTGCCCGTACTTGCTTGATTCTGCTCAATGTGATACTTGATTCTGTGCATAGCAGGATCCTGTGCCGTACACGGACAAAGGTATCGAGAAATTCATTGTGCACTGAAGCCAGAGACGATCTGTTTATGGGCCACGAAAGATGCAATGTAGCCCCTGGTGCACCGTACTCCCTGTTCTTGAATAACTTAAACCTTTTTGACCAACGTAATACTGAATCACTCAGTCACTTCAACGGAACTATCTGAGGAGAAAAATAAGTGCTGCGCTTTGCTCATTTCTTTATCAGACTCGTCATCTTCTTCACCAGAATCATCCTCAACTGATTCCGGGAAAGCGAATTCAGCAACAATGGGCAAATGATCACTGCCAATTTCCTGAAAAAGATTTATGGCACAAATTAGCAGTTACTGATATAGTACATAAAAAAATCCACATTTCAGGATCACCAAAGATTAAGATTAAGCTGTTGTTCCACGGAAATATTTATTTAAATTACTACGGAGCAAAACAGATGGGGTATTACCCTGGTTGGAAGACCCCTCGTTCTCCTCAAAACACCTATAGGTAACGTGTCCAAAACTCTGGAGCATTCAATTCCACGAGTGTGCCTTCAACAAAGAATCTGTCACATTGTGTATACATACAACAAGAAGCATAAACATTTAAAAGCATACCACAGATAATCAACAGTTCCAAGAAACTTCTTGTGGTAGGAAGTCGCCAAGGGTTCACCATGAAGACCCCTATTATTTGAATTTCCCTAGAATAATAGGCAGTAGTTTCATTTGAAGCCGTAATCTAAATGTCAAAAGTCGTCGTGCTCCCAATTGAAGTTCCATGTACCTTTAACATGGCATATGAACTACTGAGCTTCAATGGATGTTCAGCCACCACGACATTTGAACACCCTGTTGCATTTCTCACTTCTTCATCAGTCCATTGATACTTGAGCAGACTATGAGAAATATCAGGATAAGTCTTCAGTAGAGGAAAAGAAGACATGCACTAGGTTAATAGTGATCTGACAAGAAAGACTGCTGACCTACAAAGCTCATACAGGCCAAATTCAGAGCTATCAAGTCCAGATAACTGCCTTCTATCATGCAAAGAAATGTTCAGCTGGTTACACAAAAAACAAACGCAATGTGCACTGTCGGTTAAATTTTGTAATAACTAGGGACAACTATAATTTCCTCAAGAAGTTCTAAGGCATCACTCTACCTTCATTGTCGACAAGAACTTGTAGATAGCGCTCTGCTCTCATAAAATAAGAAAACGAAATAACAGAAGAAATAAAAAATGTAATATCAAAAAGGCTCCCACATTCTTCAAATTAGATATCATAACAAACTTAAGATGGCCTAGTGGCACCGCACTACCATGGACACATAACTATTTTATAGTATATCACTTCTGAATATTGCTATGTTTGCATTGCAGTTGTATAACAAGAAACTTGCTACACATAATTTTGTTCTATAAGTAAAAAATCATATGTGTCAAGAAGCAATAAAGGTATACATCAGGTGTGCTGTTGAAATCACCAGCAAGCACGATAGGAATTTTATCCCATTTTTCAGCAAGAGCATTTGCCTTCTCAAGTAGCATGCGAATCTGCAGGGAGAATCAAAATGGAGAACAATAAATTGGATAAAGTTCTAGGGTGGTGAAACAGAAAGTAGCTAATTGTCAAAAATATAAATTCTATTCGCAATAGGCCATGTCCATAAGAATAGATATATGTACAAAGAATACACACGGCAATAAACGAGGCTGAAATTAATACCTGGCCCAGTTTTATATCACCCCGCTTTGGATTAAACAAAACATGAATATTCCCAAGTACAAATTTGTGTGCTCCGTTAAGCTGAAAAATAAATAGGTAAGAAGCATTCAGAAAATAATGTTCAATATACCAGCAATGAAACAATGGTTACTTAGCTGCAAATGGATGAAGAGAGCTACAAAAATACTACCAGATTTTACAGCTTACGGTAATTAGTGGACAGTTTCTGTAATTTATAATACACACGGTTTTTTTCTATGATTGTTTAAAATGTACAATCATATGGAATTATCCATTGAACTAACTAGTGCTACTTCAGGTACCTCAAAAACACATATTTGAGCAACATTATTTCGCAGATTGAATTCACTAAAGTCAATACTATCTTCCTCAAGCAGATGTAACCTACATTTGGAAACAAAGATGAAATGAAAATACCATTTTATTCAGATCAATCAATATAATAAAGGTCAATGCATCATCCATACCGTTTTGACTTCCAAAACATGGCACATCCATCTCTAGTATCTCCAGTTCGCCTCTGATGATCACAAACTGTCAATTAAGAACTGAAACACAGAAATATTTGAAAGAAAATGTCTTTGTGAAGGAAGTGATGTACCTGAAATATACCTTCATACCCTCTGCTCTTCATTCCTGCAGCAATATCCTGAAACCTATCCACCTCCTAGCTTCCAAATAACGAAGCGTTACATAGTACAGTGCGAGAATGTCATCATTAGCATTGAGACTGGATTCTTACTTGAAGACACACTAAGTCAGGATCCCAGTGCCTAATTTCACGGATAATAAGTCGCCTCCTGGAATCCCATCTCAATGCATCCCAGGGGGACATCCAAATAAAGGTCAGGATGATTCTGGGCATTGTAATCAGCCAAGATGTTGTATGACATGATAGTGCAGGCATCTAGAAAAACAAAGCACGAGCACTGAATCAACCATGAAAGAATTGCGTCCAGCTCACAAGAACATTCCACATGAAATAGACAATACAGATTCATGGCAAAGGTCCGACAACAATCACAATATTCGCGGGGTATGTTCTCAAAAAAAAAAAACTGACTCAAACAAATTTTCTTACTTGCACTCTAACTAAGTGGACAATGCCCTAGCCAGTTCCTAGTAGCAACACTTAAGCGATGTAAGAAAAGCTTTTTTAAAAAAAATTAGTAAGAAAGCAACACCGTGAGCATACTCAGGCATATAGACAAACATATGGTGAGCAAAGTCAACTGGGAACTATTTTCTGCTAAATTTAAGCGATGTCAGATAACTAAGCACGACGAATACCTCCGGAGGAGGAGCACTTCGAGGCGTCCTCCGAGCAAACCCAAAGCCTGGAGGAGGGCAAGGCAGGCTGGGGCGCGCGGAACCGCTGCCATACGCGACCAGGGGCACGCTCCGGGTTGTGCCAGCGGCGGCGGTGGTCGAGGGGCACAGTGTTCTCGGCGGACGCGCGCCACGACGCCGTGCTTCCAGGAGCCGACGGAGAGCGGCCGCGTTTCCGCGGCGGGTGGGAGGCGGGCGCCGGCGGCGAGAGCCGCGCGCGCGGGGCGGCGGTGGATGACATTGCCCCGCTTCGAGACATGGCGTGGCGGTTGCGCGGGCGAAGGGGATGGAAATTGACGGGCTTGCTTTGCTAGGGTTGTCAGATCTGGCCCGTGCATCTTTTGATTGACGATGACGACCAGTCGACCACAATGCGCTACAGAATTTACATCACCCAATCCCTTGGCCTTCTTCAGGGATCATCAGTAATTTTAGAATATCGTCAAAAAAAATCTTCAAGATAGTCCAAGTGGACATCTGCCACACTGTTGTGCGCTTCGTCGGAGGGGGGAAAAAAGTACCTACACCGCTGTGTGCAAAAATTGCGAAAAAGAAATTCATGTGTCACAAACTCAAAGTACAGAAATTAGAGCACGATGCGCGTCGTTTGCTCGAGTGTGTTATACAAACTGGTAGGGCTAGCGAAGCGTGGGGGGAAAAATAAGCAAAAAAGGATTTTCGATAAAGTGTCTTTTTTTTTTCTAGATGTGCATGCATTCACTCCTGCAAGGTGATGGGTATTCATCCATAGTATTTTTTTAGACTATTCATCCATAGTATTGATACGTCTATCTACGGAAAAGTTCATATTCTACCTAGGTTCTGTTCTTGGGTAGTTTTCTATCACCGCTCCAGATTAGGAAATGTAAACCTTGATTGAAGAAAAGAAAAGATAAATGTGCGCACACGTCACAAACAATCCCAAGTATTGGAGTCCGGAAGATATACTAACCACTGCAATCTGCAAATCACATAAACAACCAAAGGAAATTGGTCACAGTGACGAATATTTACAAAGCTGTGTTGTCTTTTCAGTCCATAATAAAAAAAAACAAACATTATTGCTCAACTAAATAACAAACATGATGCAGCCAAGCATGGAGCACAAGCATGTCTCCATTGCTTGCTGATGGAACAAACAACATGATCTGAAGGAAACTGAAACAAGCAATGCACAACCTTTGCTGTTCGAGCATTGCTGTGTGATAAACAGAAGGTTAGACAGTTGTGGCTGAAGCAACGGGTGTCACTAGGCTTTCACCAATAGCTGGACGAAGGCCCTTGTCTGAGACCGGATCAGCAGAGGCAGGAGCTTCCCCTGGAGTATCTTCATACGCAGCATCGTGAACACCCAGAGCAGCACGCCCAGATGGATCAAGGTTCTTGGACCAGGATGCATCCCATTCAACAGCTTTGGCGGTGCTGCATGCCACACTAGGGCCTCCAGGAACAGTCGACCTTGCTGCAGGCTGTAATAATCAAAAGAATTATTTCATGGTGAAGATTATTCCAGACCCAAATAGCAAGGTGTTTTTTTTTTGGCAAGGCATGGATTATTACAGACCAAAGGGTTTTTTTAACGCAGACCAAAATAGCTTTACAGGTGCAATGTATATCTTACAAACCTTGGGGAAGAATTTCTCGAATATCATTCTGTAGTAGTACCCTTCTTTTGTTGTGGGTGTGTTCTCTGGGTAAACAAAGCTAGCATTCAACATCATGGAATCTGTGACCTGAAATGCAATAATAAACATCAACTGCACGTTCAACAAGGACCAACTTCCTGAGAGGTTCAACAAAGAAAATATGGCATACATGTTGGTTGGCATGGTCCTTCAATCCATCGATCCAACTATACCCGACACCATCACTGAACTGTTCCTTTTGCCTGTAAAGAATGTGCTATTTGCAGAAAATAGAACCTATATAAGTTACAGCATATGGGATTTAGAAAGTATTCAAGTAACATTGCAAAAATAACAAGAGCAACTTCTCCAACCTTAGGTAAATAGGGCCACTCCTCATCATCAAATGCATTACGGATAACCCATTTCTCAATTCGACCGAGGTCACGGTTTATCTAAAATTTTACAAGGCAATAGTCACAAGAAAGGAATCATGCTGGTTAGAATCAAAGAAATGAATTACAGTGAAATTAGATATCTTGATATTATTGTAACACATGGCAACATACCATCTTCCATTCAGGATCAATGTCCATTGCTACATTGATGAAACTTTTGTCAAGGAATGGAACACGAGCCTCAACACCCCAGGCAGAAGTTGATTTGTTAGCCCTCAAGCAATCATACAGATGTAGTGCTTTTATCTAAAGAGCATTCAAAAGACATCTTGTGAGCAAGATTGAACGACTAAGCAGCTGAACCGAAAGAGACAACATGCATGTGCTACTCTGCTTTAAATGATTGGCCAAAACTTTGGTCATAACATCACCAGTAAAAAATATCTTTACCTTCCGACATGTTTCCTCATGGAATTCTTTCTTGTTTGGTGCCTTGTGAAAATAAAGGTAACCACCAAAAATTTCATCTGAACCTTCTCCAGAAATAACCATCTTCACCCCCAAAGATTTGATTTTGCGTGACATCAAAAACATTGGGGTACTTGCTCTGATTGTTGTAACATCATATGTCTCAACATGGTAGATGACTTCCTCCAAGGCATCAATCCCCTCCTGGTATTTTTTTAAAACAATAAATATACAATTTAAAAGGTTTTTTTCCCTGTAGTGTACAGAAAATCAAATGGAGAACCTGCACTGTGAAGTGGAACTCATGATGTACAGTGCCGAGGTAATCTGCAACTTCCTTAGCAGCTTTAAGATCAGGAGAACCCTACAAAGGACAAAAACAGAAGAATTTCATCACATTGTCCCCACTGCTTATATCACTCCCAGTAGATATTCCTTATTTTGTCAAAATACTCATAGCAACAAGAAAACAAGTTAGAACTGGAATGATGGCTGAAGTGAACACGATACTCTGTGATGACGGTAAACAAGAAACTTACCTTCAAGCCTATACAGAATGTATGCAATTTATTTCCCCACTGCCTGGCAACCTTTGTTTCGTTTAAGTGCCGTGAAGCAACAGATGCAACCAAAGAAGAATCAAGTCCACCAGATAAAAGCACACCAAATGGCACATCAGTCATCAGCCTCTTAATAACAGCCTGCAGAAGTGAAAGATAATATCAGTAATCAAAATAATTTAGAAAAACAAACAGGCATTGAACATGTCAGCTATAGAAAATCGTACTGTTACTGCAGAAATGAACACATCGAATCATCATTTTGACTACAGCACAACACAGCAACTGGAATTCCCATTGCACAACAAAACCAACTAATACATGGATAAGCAATTAGGCATTACCTAATCAGAGGCATTAACATAGAATATAAGCATGAAGTGACGAAACAAAATTCAAATAGTTATCCTGACAACAAATATTGCATACATAAATATATCAAATGCATTATTACTATATGTGTCAAAAGATGTAAAAAAACAAGGAGACAGAGAAAAAGACGAGTGAACAGATAGATATCAACTATATTTTATGTATCAACGGGTATGAAAGTAGTACATGGTATCAGGAAAGACACATGCCTTCTCAAACATCTCCCGGAGGAAGAGAGCATTGTAAGGGGTTGAAGGGATCGTCTCTGAAAACCATGGTGGGTTGTACCATCTCCTTAGACCACCTAGGAAGGATACAAAAAGCTTAGATTGCACTTTTGCTTCAGGATCTGAAAACTCTATTCTGGTTTATGTGCAGGATGAGACAGTCTGCTAGATAAGTCAACCTGTTTTGCTGGAGTAGAGATGCCCAGGGGGGAAGGTTATGAAGCGTTCACAATCATCGCTCAAAGCCTTCATCTCTGAAGCAAACCAGACTGATCCTGATAACATAGCACACTATGAATTAATCTCAAGTAGCAGCTAATCTGAATCCAGAAAAGACAAATAGTTAAGAATTGAGTTGGTGTCAACACCACACTGCATATTTTCCAAGATGAAGAAAAGGAAAGTTCCAGATATATCAAATATCAGAGGAATGAACACTTATCCAAATAAGTACATAGCCCCCTAAATAACATAATACAGTCATTTTTCCTGCTTTTGCTTTTTTGGATGACAGAATGAACTTTAACATGGTTCTACATCAGATTCAGGAGAATCCTGCTGCCAGACTGGTAATCAAAACCAGAACTTCCAAAAGAGCCAGGCTGTCATCTTTCTTGCATGAAGAAAGTAGGCTCATACCAGCACGAACAACACATAGTTCATCGTTGCCTAAGGGCTTGCTAACGGTGTTTCTATATTTCAGTTTACTAAGAGATCAGCATTCAAACTTAAATTAAGTGTCCTGTGTGGTATCTCTCTAACAGGAACTAGAGAACATGCCAGGAGGTTCTTGGCAGTAACTGGACATTTCCGTTCTTTAATGTGGACCATAACTTCAAGCACGATTGACCACTGCAACAGTAGTTACCAAAGCAAGCCATTGACAAATTCCAGAACATTATGTTTGAGAAGGAAAAGCATAGAATTCATTTCACAAAATTACAACTAATTGCATCAAACTATCAAAGAACTACAACTTTAAGATCAGTTTCATGGTACAACTACTACTTGTGCCCTCAGTTTCACAAACCTTCATTGGACCCACCTGCCAGTCACAGAAATAGAAGGCCCATGCAAATTGTTGTGGGTTATGAAATGGATGCCTCAAGTAGTAGTTTTATGAAACTGATCCTAGAAGTTTTATTTGTGAAATGAATCAAAAACATAATTCATGCCTGATTTTCTTCGGAAGGACAAAACAATCAGCTGATTTGCTTCACATACCATCAAGACCCCATCCCATGTATAAAGGGCAGATGCCAATAGCATCACGAGCTGCCATGAAGCTTTTATCACGTGTATCAAGAAGAACAAAGGAGAACATTCCATCCAACATATCCACAAATTCTTCCCCATATTCTTCGTACTGTGTAAAGGAAATATTAAAAGGTCTCAATGCCAAGATTAAATAACTTTATAACAGAGGGTGATGCTTCGATGGATAATGAAATTGTTGGTAAAAGCTATGCCACTGTTAAATGGGTATAGATATGCAACTTACAAGATGGGCTATAACTTCACAATCACTGCCAGTTTGGAATTCATGAGTTTTCAACTTAGCTTTCAATTCTTCATGGTTATAGATCTCTCCGTTCACCTGGAAATGACAACCAGAAGATAAAATGGTGAAGTAACTATACAAAAATAAAAGCATATTTCCTCTAGTTGATTTAATTAAATCAAGACTTCTGGTGGGTTAATATCATGCCACATTAAGTTGCACTTAGCTCAATGAGGGCATTTGCTAAGCCTCCCTAGATCTGGGAAGTTTCTCTTTCACGGTATTGGGATCCTTTGATCGATTCCTTTGATCACTATTTATGGGCATGACAGACTTTTGGAAACAAATGACAGTTACCACAGGCAGAACAATTAAACAATTTGTTGCGAACTCTGCAGTTAGCATAAAGAAATGAGTGGATACAGTGAAATTGTATTTCTAATCCAGATACAGACCGTTACAACAACTGTTTTGTCCTCATTGTACAACGGCTGGTCTCCAGATGTAGGATCAATAATAGCCAACCGCTGGTGTGCAAGGTAGCAATCCTGATGACAGTGCAAACCGCTCCAATCAGGCCCTCGGTGCCGTAACCTACAAAATTATGAAGTTCATTTCAGTGGGGTGCATGTGTATAACAAATTTATAACAAGCACCCTGTAATTCCTAAGAACGCTCTGCCACAAAAAAAAAGGCACAAAGAAATTATATTCGCTGAAGTAAAGAGACATCTGGCTCTCATTTCAGATTTCAGTAAGATGGCACTAATTTGTGTTCTACAATCAACAGCTATTTAGTCTAAAAGAAGATTAAGTCAAATTCAAAAAGGGTAACTCTACAATTGTGTGCTTACAGAAGCAGGACCAAAGCTGCACAGTAATTGCCTCTATAAACTGCTGCTTCTCAGTTTTCTCTAATCATAGGCCAACTGTGGAACTTCTAGGCAACTTTTCTCTTTTTTACTCCTCTTCTAACTTGCTAAATGAGTCATATAAATCGTTGACAAAGAAAATTTTAGGCAACCCAGCCATATCCTCTAAATTTGTAATTTATGTACGCAAGTTTACAATAATTTATATTTGCAATTAGAAGGAGATGTTTTGTGTTTGAAATCATAATCTCCACAAGAGGAATCGTGAACCAAAACCTCCATGCTTGCCACCACAAGCACTAGCTAGATAAACCCCAGAAGCCTGTTGCTGGACATCAAGTGTATCTATACATGCTACATTTTACTCAAATTCAAACAATTTACATTTAAAGCCATCAACATGCATTTTCTGCAGATGAAACGCGCATGTACACACCCATTACTATTCTTGAATAAACACATATTCATTTCGAAGTGAACACTTGAAGGACTGTAACCTCACAGAAATACATCTATGTAGGCAGATACCAGTTGCATTTTGAAAATCTGGTCCTCCCAATTTCTCTCACGACATAGACACGCCCTGTCGCGCTACAGGGGCCCTCGGAAAAATTAAGCATCTATCATTCACCACAGCTCATTCCTAAATTCTCGGAGACAGATACTACGTTTTGCAAAAGTTGACCACATATCGCTGGTCCTTTACAGCTGTTAATATAAATTGAAACGACAAGTGGACTAGAGGGTTCGAAAAACCAGAGATATCCCGTTTGCCCAAAGGTGCTGTATGTACTCTACTATCCCAACCCGCCACCAAATTTCCTCCGCCCTCTCCTCAAACGGCCGCAATAAGCCAATAACCCGCCCGGGGCCAGGGCGCGGCGGCGGGGCGGGGCCGCGTTTAAGCCACACAAAAGACACAGATGGAGATGGGACGGCGAGACAGTGGGGTGCCGCGCCATACCTGCGCGAGAGCTCAATGATGCGGGAGCGCTTGGCGAGGGAGACGTCGGCGACGCCGAGGACGGCGAGGATGCCGCACATGGTGGCCTGCTCCGGCTCGGGCTCTCGCCTAGCGTCGCCTGCTGCTGCCTGCTAGCACCACCACCCGCCCCGGCGCCCGTGTCGCTTCCGACCCCAAAAGCGCCGCGACGCGTCGGGATGCGAAGAGGTCTCTCGCGTCACGGACGGCGAAATGGGAGGTTTAGGCAGGGAAGGGGAATCTAATTAGGGCTTTGCAGGGTAATCACGGCATCTCGGCCGTCGGATCTGTGTCTTAGTTGGCGGCTCTAGTGGCGCCCCCACCAAGAAGGCGGCTGGTGCTTTTGGCTCGTACGGTGGGTCGAGCCGTGCATCTGTAGAGATGCACTGACGTGTGGGGCACCGATGTATGTGGGGCCCTTTGCCATTGGGTGAAGGTGCGTAAATTCGATGTGGGTTTGGGAGCGGGGTGGTCAGAATCTTGGACCGCGCCGCGCACGGAGATTCTGCCGAGTCCACGTGATGAGGTGGATTCCGCCTGACCCGGACGTGCGTGCGCCGCTGCCGGCCTGCCGCGAGTGGGTTTTGAGCTGGCCGCTGCACGATTTCGCAACGTGTTCTTTTTGTTGGCCATGGGGCCTATTGGGATGTGTGCATGCACAGCCTTTGGAGCGAGCAGTTAGCGAAAAAAAATCTTTGTATCTAGGCAATTAGTCGACACAGCTAGGCCAGCTTGATCCACCGGCTAACTGTTCCCTGCGTTAGAGAAATCTGTTAATACTTACTTCATCCGTCCCCAATTATAAGTTATTCTAATTTTTAAGTCAAAACATCTTAAATTAACATCTTAAATTTAACCAAATTTATATAATAAAATAATAATATTTATTATACCAAATAAGTATCGTTAGATTCTTTATTAATTATATATTTTCATAGTATATATATTTGATGTCATAAATCTTTGTAATTTTCTCTATGATTTTAGTCAAACTTTAGATGCTTTGAGTCTAAAAAAACATTGGAATGACTTATAATTTGGAATTGATGGAGTACTTTGTAATTGTTAGCTAACTGTTAGCTATGTTAGATATAAAAACTTATTAATAGCTAACTGATAGCTGGGTGGTAGGTAAGACATTAGCTGAGCTTATTAGTTGAGGATTCAAACATATTTTCAACAAACTTTTAGCACCTAACTAGTTCTAGGGATTCAAACGGGCTCTACCTGTGTTTGCTTTGATACAAAATACTTGAGACAAACTCCCCCGTCCAAAAGTCTCCATTGTTTAAGCAAAAAAAATCCAATAGTCCCTATCGCCGAGGTGCTCCTTCTTATATCGACTCCGTCTCGCGTGAGCACGATGCCTCGGATGGACCGCGAGTAATTACGACGCCACCTTCCCATTTGTGTTTATTCCGGCTCCGTCATCGTACCGTCTATACATCCAACACACCGCTCAACATAACATGCGGAGGAGGAACTTTTCTTACGAGTTTAAACATCTAGACTTAATTTGTGGAGCCAAAGTCTAGATTAATGAAGTCTTGATAGATGCAATAGTTTATTGCAAGACCCAACAAAATGCGTGCTAAGTTTTGAGCTAAACACATGTCAAAATGACACGTATAAGTGCCGCGAAAATGGGAAAAATATGAATGGAATGGAAAATAATACAAAGTAAGTAGTAAATAAAGTTTATCATACCGGATAAAAATTACATGCATGGTATATATATGAAAAGAAAAAACAATTTTTGATTAGCTCACATCAAATTTCTTCATGAACCTTTTAATGTGTGTCACTTAAATCTGTCACTCGAGCATGAGCAAATAAGGTTGATGAACTAGTATGCCATAGAATTCTTACCATTGGATTTGTATTCAAAACAATTTCTTAACGACTTTGATGCTACAACTATTAATAAGATCTCGTAGAGAAATTTTATAGAGGGAGTACTTACTAAACATAAATAGTCGACATTGGAAATTACTTGTCCCGTTTGGATCCTTGGAATTGAATTTATTTTAATAATTATAGTTTAGACACAAAATAATTAAGCTAATATGGTTGTATATGGATTATATTTGTATATTATTGTTGATTATACGAGAGATATACTTATGGGTTGCATTTCTACCGTAGGGGAACGAGTTGAAAAATATGTTATAAGTTACAAAGTAGAAACATAGAATGGTAATAGAATCAATTTCTATCTTCCACCCTATGAATTTTAGATAGTCTTATATGTGAACTTTGAAAAAATGATGAAATGTCAAATTCTAAACTAAATAGCCTAATTTATTAAGTAGATTTCAATTCCTCCAAACAAAAAGATCCAAACAGCCCCTTACTCTAATTGCCTCCGTTTCAAAGATTTCCGAGGCTCGAATTCGTCCGGATCAAGGATCATGTATATGTCGTTTAGCATCATGTGCAACTTAACAAAGTATCAACTCTATTCTTTGCTTCGTGGGCCACTATTTGGTACCACGGCCCACGAGCGCCCACACCAGTCAGGCTAGTGTCACGCAGCCAGGCGTGGCCTCTGCGGCTCTGCGCAGTGCGTACATCCAGCGCCGGTAAGCCCGCCGCCTGCCTCCGCCCCACGCGAATTTCCTATACCTGCTCCCGCCGCGCGCGAACGGCCGGCGGGACCCGGCGGCCATCGCCGGCCATGACGAGGGCATCTGCAGACCGCAGGCTCCTGCAGCCGTGGGCAAAGCCTGGCCATGTGCATGGAGCTCGTTCGCGATCGGAATCGCGCCCTGGCAAATAGTGAACTCAGAAACGAAATGGACGAAAGGTTGCACAAGTCAAGTTTTCCTTCATGTTCAGAAGCCGGAACGTAACACTACACTAGCCGAGAAGCTGCTGTACTCCCAAGTCTCCAACAGCTACTAGCAAAAACACCGCCAAAGTGACGATTACATGTACTAGCTTACTTCGCCGTTTCTGATTGATTTCAGATGAATCCGCATGGTTACATCTCACGACGGACGCAATTAGTGTGTCAGAGCAATCTACGGTTCATATGATGACACTGACACGCCACACCTGGCTACTACGAATCAATCCGTCGGGCGCGTCAGCCACAGGGAGCTCAGCGCTCGGAGCCGCGAGAAGTAGTCGCTGACGACGAGCAGCGCGCGCGCGGCCTGGCGCGTGGTCAGGATCCGGTGCACCTGCTTGAGCGTCTGCTGCCGCAGCAGGTCCGCCTGGCGGAGGAAGTTCTCCACGGTGGCGAGCTTGCTCATGGCGACGGCCATCTGGCCCATGTAGTTGGTGACGCTGTCGGCGGCGGACGCGGACGGGCCGAGCGCCGGGGCGGCGGCGGCGAGCGTGTCCCCGAGCGCCTGCTGCAGGGCCTCCATCCCCTGCGACAGCGCGTCCTCGGCCTGCTGCAGCGACTGCTGCAGGCTGCAGATGCCCACCAGCTGCTGCTCCGTCAGCTGCGGCTCCACCTGCCGCGCCACCACCTTGAGCAGCTCCGACGACCGGAACCCGCCCAGCCACGCGAAGAACCGCTCCGCGGGCTCATCCACATGCCCGACAGCACGTGGAACACGTCCGTCCTGGTGGCCACGCCCTTGAGACGGAACATCTCGTCGTAGTGCAGCATCACGCCGTCCACCAGCACGCCCAGGTCGTCATCGCCGATCTGCGCGCTCAGGGCCACCCGGAGGTCGTTCATGTGTTGCTGGTGCTCGTCCAGCCACCGCGCGTACTCCAGATCGAACGCCAACGCGCCTGCATGCAACAGGTGACACAGATTAGTTAGACTTTGCACAGGATCAGAATTCAGAATTGCTATGTATAAATGACAAGAGCTGAGCAATGTAAAAGATCATTGCCTCCAGTGGAGCCTCCATGATCGCCGGAGCGTCCACTTGCAATGAACATCCCCTGCATTATAGTTATACCAAAGCCCATATACAATCAGCGACAAAATATACATTTTCTTAAAAAAAAACAGATAAGGAGTTCACCTGCTGCCTTGCCCTCTGAAGCTCCTGCTCAAGGTGAGCCAGCTTGGACCGGCTGTTCTCCAGCTCCACAATGTATGCCTACAGAACAAAGTTGCACAGTGCTTGAACAATCTTGCAAGTGGCTAACATGATACAGAAACTATAGACAAAACTCAGTAAGCCAAGGCAGCATGCCTCCATTGTAGATTAGAACAGACACATGCATTGTTGAACTTGAATTATCTGATATGCATCAGGGAAAATAACTAGAATGATACTTTTTTTTTTATTTAGTAGGCATGTATTGGTCAGTGGTTACCACTATTTAGGCTGTGTTTAGTTCACGAAATGAAATTTTTTGATGTCACATGTTTCGGGATGTCGTAAGGGATTTTCTGATACTAATAAAAAAAACTAATTACATAGCTCGCTTGGAAACTGCGAGACGAATTTATTAAGTCTAATTAATCCATCGTTAGCGCATGTTAGTTATTGTAGCACTTATGGCTAATCATGGACTAATTAGTCTTAAAACATTCGCCTATCGATTTCTAACTAAACTGTGCAATTAGTTTTTTTTTTCGTCTATATTTAATACTCTATGCATGTGCCTCAAGATTCGATACGATAGTTTGGGGTGAAAATTTTTAGGAACTAAACCAGGCCTTAGTTAGCAAGAACACAGGATGGAATGCCATGCATAACAAAATCAAAATGTACATAAGCTTCCCGTAAGGGATGATCACCTTCTTCCTCATCCGGCTTTTCCGGGCTGCCTCGCGGTTTTGCGCAAGCCTCCTCTGCGCCTGCCATGACACAGCACAAACCACAATCACATTTGCTACTCCTATATTGCTTCTAATTTTTCCACGCTCAGCCTGTTCGCTTGTTCGTCAGGGCTTATCAGCCAACCAGCGATGTTTTCTTCTCATGTAGGACCAGCATCAGCCGAGTTTATCAGCCCAGAAACCACACAACGAATTGTGTTCACAGGACATGACATGACATAGCGCACCTTGTGATCCCTTGATTCTACCTTGCACACCGGCAACGAGTTGTCGTGTCCATCGACGCTCTGCGTGATGGCTCCACCCTACGAACGGCGGCGCAATCACATGTCACAGCATATAATAAGGTGGAGTTCATGGCAGGAGGCATACTGCGGGAATCAGGATCGAAGCTGAGTAGAGACGAGCAGAGCAGACCATCTGTGCGTCGTGGTGGTTGGCACCGCTGACGTCGTCGACGTCGGTGGAAGCCGTCTCGGCGAGCGGGCTCGTGACGACGATGCCGGAGTCGCCCCAGTTCTCGAAGTGCGCCGCGGCCGCCCACGGCATGCAGAACCGGGCGTCGTCCGCCGTCGTCGCCACCCCCGGCGGCGCCATGCCAAACGGGACCGCTACTCCTCCATGCTGCACAGAGACAAAAAGAGCCTCCATCATTCATTCACAATCAAGAGAAGCCGCGCGAGAACGAATCGTCTTGGGCATGCAACAAAAGCTCAGTGAACTCACCGCGGCGGCGAGCGGCGGCACGAAGGTGGCGGCGGCGCTGAGGCTGCTGGAGGACTTGGAGCTGGGTTTGGGGCCTTCACATCGCATTAATCCCGCGATGCGCGTGCAACAGCCAGCCATGAGAAGAGAGAACAACCAGTGCGCGCGCATGCGCATCCAAGAAAAGGGAAGGAAACAAATGAACGAGGCAGGGCGTTACTGCGCTGGAGCTCGGGGAGGAGGATGGTGGCGCCGTCCCCGACATGGCGGTACCCGCCGGGACCCTGCTCCACCCAGCAGCTGCGATGCGAATGCAAATGCAACCACCGCGCCGCACGGCACGAGGGGGGGCCGCGCAAGGCAACAACACGTTAGCGAGCCGGACGGACGCGCCGGTCCAAAGGGAGAGGGAGACAAACGCTCGCGCGCCGCAAGCGACACAAGGAGGGAGGGAGGCACTGTTGGTGCTGCGCACGTGGCACCACGTGTTGCCTTGTGCCCTGCGGCTTGCTTACCTGAAGACGTGAGATGGCTGGTGATGATGCATCGGGCACGCCGGCAAGGGCAGGGATCAGAACGGCGGCGACGAGGAGGATGGCTTGCTGCGCCCGTGCACCGTGGACGGACGGATGTGAGCTAAGCTTGGCTACCGGAGACGAGGCGAGACGAGACCGATGCCGTGCATGCGCGTCTGCTGCCGGGGTTAAAGGGGAAGGAAGGAAGCAGGGGATGGATGGGGCCGCGGTGCAAACTGAAGATAGGATCATCAGAGCCTAGCTCCTAGTATAGCGAGGAGGAGAGGGATCGATGGAAAGATACGATCAGGGCGCGTCAATTTTGGTGTCAGGCCGGCTCATCCATCAATCCACACATTCAATCAGTACTTTGAGAAACGCAGGGTGGCAGGCAGCGACAGAGAGCACAGAGCAGCGGGCTTTTTGTACTCCATCTGACTGACGACGCGCGTGGTTGCGTGTGCGACGAGTCCCGGTGAGTGCTGGCAATGCTTCGCTCGAGGTCGAGGAGCCGAGCCCGAGCGGAGCGGCAGGAACGAGGAGAGGAAGGGGTGTTTAGTTTTTTTTCGTTTCTAAAATTCATATCAATATTTAGATTCATTAAATATAGATCAATTATAAAACCAATTACATAGATGAAGATTAATTTTCGAGATGAATTTTTTAAGCCTACTTAATCTATCATTAGTATATGTTTATTGTAGCACCACGTCGTCGAATCATAGACTAATTAGGCTTAAAAGATTCGTCTCGCAAGTTATATAATTAGTTTTATAATTAGTCTATATTTATTACTTCATGTATGTGTCCAAATATTGGAGGTGAAAAGAATTTTTGGAGTTCCAGCATAAAACAAACAGGGCCGAAGTGCCAAGCCAAAGGGTGGGCCTGGTGACTGCGAGAGCACACTGTAATAATAGTGTAATGGTTCGATGTGATGGTGTGCGCCAGACCGCCAGTGGTAGGCTGGTACCATTGTTGTCCGCTCCTATTCCTATGTGAGGGGTAGGGGGATACCGCCCCGCTTTGACTGGGGTAGTGGTACGTGAGCAAAGACAAAGGGAAGCAGGGTGACACGTGAGACACGGTCAGGAGGTACTCCCATTCCTAAAAAATCGTAATTTAAATTTGAATCCAATTCAGAAATTTCGAAATCTAACTAAATTTATAAGAAATAGTAAATATTAAACCTCCAAATAAGTTAACAATAAAATATATTCCACAATGAATCTAAAGACACTATTCGTTATTATAAATGTTAGTGTTTCTCGTATAGATTTAGTTAATAAAACTATTTGAATTTTTAAAAACTTGAATGTATTTTTTGAACAGAGGTAGTACTCTTGCCCTAACGAAACGTACTTTTGTGGTTTAATATTTGAACAAGATAAGACCTGTTTGAAACGCTAGATTTTTTTACATGTATTATACTAGCTTTGTTCTAAAAAGAATGTAACTACGGGCTATGTGCCAGCTAAAGTGATTCACGTTTGATCAAGTTTCTAATGTGTTTATGGCTCCAAATCAATTTGTTATGAAAATACACTTCGTACTTAATCTAATGGTATTTCTTTGATATTATATACTTTTTATCTATAATTGTCAAACTTATAAGATAGTAAAATATTGCATTCTTTTTTAGACAGAGGGAGTATATATGATTGGAGGGAGAGGGAGGGGGAGGGATGATAAGTACTTCCTGTGTCCCAAAATATCTGTCGTTTTCACTTTCCAAGAAACAGCTTTGATAAAATATATATTAAAAATATTAATATTTATGGTACATAATTGGTATCGTTGGAAATATCTTTTAATCTAGTTTTTTAATAAATTTATTTGGAGATTCAAATGTTGCGTGGATTTTCTACAAATCGAGTCAAACTTGTGACACGGAAACTAAAAGCGATAAATAATTTGAAACAGAGGGAGTACGATTCAGGCACATAAAACCATGCATTACACCATTGATATTAGTTATCTACCATGCACAACACAATTGACTTTGTCGAATAGGCTTATCCTGTGAATGGATCGAGAACGCAAACAAAAACACGAAGAACGCAATTTGATATATCAAATAAAGATTAAGTATATCAATCTGATAGGATGTTAAAGTCTTAAATTGAAAGGATTAGTCGACATGCTACCTTGCCATCTCCACCGTCATACTCATGTAGCTTAAGGCCTCCATGTGTACTACACCCGTGCCTTTCAATCTTTTATATCTCACATGAAAACATTAGTACACATGTGCTACCATTGATTATAAGGAAAACCCGAACAAAGCTCTAGATGCTTTCAGAGCGTCGCTGGCTTGTGGACGCACATCCGTCGCTGTCACTCGACTCGGGGGAGAGGAGAGAGAGGACAGTGCAAACCACGCTTATACTCAGGCGGTGTTTAGTTCCCAAAATGATTTTTTTTGGATTTTACATTAGATGTTTCAGGGATGTTGAAAGGAGTTTTCGGATACTAATAAAAAAACTAATTATATAGCTCGTCTAAAAACTGCGAGACGAATTTATTAAGCCTAATTAATCTATCATTAGCACATGTTAGTTACTGTAGCACTTATGGCTAATCATGGACTAATTAGTCTTAAAACATTCGTCTCGTGATTTTCAACTAAACTGTATAATTAGTTTTTTTCGTCTATATTTAATACTTTATGCATATGCCACAAAATTCGATGTGATAGTTTATGGTGAAATTTTTTTAAAACTAAACCAGGCCTCAAATACTCAACTCAGGGGAGAGAAAGGCGAGGGAGATAGAGAGCTTGAGAGAGAAGGGAGATAGAACAGATATAAGCCTTGTCAGCATATAGGTACATGTGTAGACTCATTTGAACTAGCTCTAAGATCCAAATAAAGATGCAAATTTAGTTCCTTCCTAACACTTTACGTCCTATCACATTTAATGTTTTGATAAATATATGGAGTATTAAATATATACTAAAAATAACTAATTGCACAGATTACAACTACTTTGCGAGACGAATCTTTTAAGTCTAATTAGTTCATGATTTGACAATAAAGTGCTACAGTACACACATGTGCTAATAACGGATTAATTAGGCTTAATAAATTCATCTCATGGTTTACTGACGCATTCTGTAATTTATTTTTTATTAGTATCCGAACACCCCATGCGGCACCCTTATTTAACATCCGATGTGACACCCCAAAACTTTACACCCTGGATGTAAACACCACCTTAGTGACCGAGATCGGAACCACACATCCGAATTAGTTTGGGGAATGTTGGCGCACTTTACTCAAGTTTTAAATACTTTCCAAATGATAATCTACCTACTTTCAAAATGTTATGAATAATCATAGACACAACTTTAAAAGTTGAACGGTAGCTATACAAAACTATGTAATATATCGTTGTTCATATTGTAACACACTCGGTGTAACACCGTAAATCATTTACTAAAATATGTCATGAGCATCATGTTTATATGTTAATGCATATGATAAAGTGTGTAGATCAATTTCTATAATTCGAAACGATTAACTAGAATGTGAAACGAAAGTTGATTCGATAGTCATGTTATATCACTTAGGGTTTAAAACTAATTTTTATTAAGCAAAAATGCTATGAAACATGTATGTGATACTTAAATAAAGTTTGAAGTACAAACTTTGTAGATGATAATAAAATACCTACGGTCGAAAAATGATATTACTGGCTAATATTTCCACTAGCTTAGAAATCACAAATGGAAATCAAATTCAGCTCTAAAACTTAGAAATTTTCAAGTCTGCCAACAGTTAGACACTGCTATGTTTAGCAATTTATTGTGAGAGATTGGGTCAAGGAGTGGGATAGTGTTATACCTCGATTTGGTAGTCTCATGTGCCATCTTGTACATGGCGAAGATAGTTTAGGTCATAAAGCAACCGTTTGATCGTGTTGAACGCTTTAAAATTCGTGCGTGTCACTATCTCGATTTGGTTGGCGCCGGGTGCACGGTCACTGCGTGGCCTCCCCACGCCACGCACATGGCAGCGTCTCGCGCGGTCAACCTTGCCGCCGCGCTTGACCGGTCGAGCCGCTTGGGCTTGGTGAAGGCCGACCGCAGGGAGCCGCTGGCCCCACGCCCTGCTACTCTGCCTCGTGCTGCCGTCTTGGGTGCCGCTACGGCCACGCTATGCTGCCATCGCGTTCGCACTGCCGATGCTCCTTGCGTCGCGACGCTGTCGCTGCCACTGCCATCGCATCATCATCGCATCCGCGCTGGTCCGCTGCATCTCTATGCTGTTGTCGGCCCTGTGCGTGTCGCCTCTGTCGCGCGCATGTGGGTGAGCCACCGTTGCCATGCCATTTATGGCACTACGGCGTGCGGGCTACGCCGGTCGGATGCGCGCACACGTTGTTCGTAGCACCGAGGCATGGGCCTCCCATTCTCGCCGCTCGCGTCCCGTCAAGGCGTGGACGAGCCGAGCCCACCTGCTGCGCCGCCTGTCTCTTTTTCTTTCTTTTCCCTCTGTTTCTGCTGTCGTCGTGTCGCGTCATGGTGAGCCCGAGAGCAAGCACCTCTCATCAATTCCTCATGCTCGCGTCTCTGCCTTCACGTCCCCTCTC